AAATTAATAATTTATTATCTACTGATTAACTTGTGATGTATTCGAAATTCGAACCATGAAAACAAAACTTGAAACAGTCATTAATTTAGTCTTTTTAATTTTGCAAGTACAGCACTTTTCAAATCAATCAAGAGGTTTTCTCCTTTCTCCTCGTTTTGAATTTCACTTTTGTGTAAGTAATATTGCGACTGCACTATTGTGAGTGGAAATACTACCGTCTAATTTACGAACAAACAGGACTAGAAAGATAGGGAGCACACAAAACATTAGTTAGCATTTTGATTTCACAAACACTTGCACAATTTGGGAAACTAGATCGCATCAACCCCATCATGGTTGGAGCTGAGTAAAGAAAATTTTATGATTATGACACCTAGATTGCCGGGAATGGCACTCTCAGACCTAAATTTTAATTATAATTTTCCTTGTTTTTTCCATTTTTTTTATTATAATTTTGAAAAATTTAGGATCGACTAGGCCCCACTTGTATCCGCCACTGATTATTATGCCGTCATTGCAAGATTGCGTCAACATAACACTGTAGTTTGTAAGCTTTTGATATTACTAAATCGAAATAGATAGACCCGTCCGTGTAAAAAGCTGTATAATTATTGTTTTATAATGGTTATATAAAATAACATATAACCTAATATAATAATTAACTATATTCTTTTGAAATTAGGAAAACAATAATCTATGTATGTAGATAATATTAAACACATACGTACGGGTCAGGCAATAGGAATGAATCGTTTATAGTATAAATTGTGCACGTTTGAGTTTATAAAAATATTGGCCTAATAAGTATACACGCTTCCAATTTTAACAACGTTCAGTACACTGTTTTCACAATAAATTTAGCCTCTGATAATGATAAACGTTTCACCCATAAAATCGATGTAGTGGTTACTAAGATGGTTACGAAATGTATAAAATTGCGTTTTTACTCGGTTTTGGTCCAGAAGTAAGTACCGCACTTGAAAAAGTTAACAGACAAAATTCATGACAGTCATGCGTAATTTTTATTCTTTCCATTCGCTTTGAAAAGTGGGGTTTTAATTATAGAAGATTGGGGAAAAGTGGAGGGAATAATCGATATGATGTCCCCTACTTTGAAAAGTAGGGGGGACGTGTCCCCCTGTCCCCACCGATCGACGCCCATGTATATAGGGCCTAGGCCTACTTACTACATGTAATTGACGGTCGATTTCCCCCACAACGGGTTAAGGAGTACTTGTAGATGAGGGCATACATTTCAAGCAGCGTTACATCACACGTGTTTTCATTGCGAAGACGCTGGTAACAGTTATCATGAGCTTCGCAACACCTGCAGGGAAATAAAACCTTACGTTATAGTTCATTCATGGAATTCAGTGATTGTTAAATAAATATAATACATTCAATAAGGTTTAAACCACTGTGTAAATATTTAATATAAAATAATATTGAATAATGTGAGTTTTTTTATATAAGAGGCCGAGGCCATTGCATAAATATCCAATAGAAGAGCGAACAGTTAAGCTGTCTATTAGCCCTAAATTTTATGTGACACCTTTGATTTTCCCATATATGGGTACGGTATGATATCATCATGTCCAACTATCTGGGACAGGGAGTGCAGACGGTGCGATCGCACCCTCTAAATTGTATTAAAAAAAGTAATTGCTGTATTGTATTTTTGCTATGTTACTTTTATCATTTTAAAGTACCGGTAAGATTTTAAAAGTATGAGAGTAAGAGTGAAATTTCCGGGCACCTTTGGTCCATATTCTCAAACTTTTCTCATCCCAGCCATGTGGGGCTGAGATATTGTGGATTTACGCACCCACTACAGCCATATCCGGCATTCGCCCCAGTGTGCATCATTGTGGTTATGATGATGCCCAGCCCAGTGTTGTCTGAATGATAATCAATTGATTTAGCATTCAAACCCCAACCCCCGTTTTGCCACTAAATATTAACATTTTAATGCAAATTAGTGCTACTCACTTATCTATCCTGAGTATTTTGTCCCCCCCCCCCTCCACCACCTCTCTTATACACATCTAGATGTGTATAAGAGACAGGGAAATAGACAACGCTCTATCCATCCTACATTTGGAAAATGGCATACAGAAAGGGTATTAATTAAAGGATGATAGAATAACAATTAAATGGAATGTACTTACCTATCCAACGCGTCCACTGGTGTTCCAGAGCCTCCCTGGCCGCAGAAACAGCCATACCCATTGTAATAATACATCACGTCGAGATAGGAGACACGTGTGGTGCAAGAAATCATGTCGGAGAATTGCCAGACAGCCCTTTTCTGACGCCCAATTTCAGCACCATTACAAACTGTAGTAATTAAAAAAGAAAAACAAATATTTGAGTATCTAAATACGCCGAAGAACACTGATAGAAATACAAGAATTAAGTGATTGCATATTTTGATGTATTACAGACATTGATACCTACACTCAGATGAATATTTCGGTGTTTCCTTACTGCAGTAAGTTAGTACGGCTAAACCCAAAAGCACTGAGCACGTGATAAGCATATGCACATTTTTGTAAATTATGTTTTTAGATGCAGTGATTTTGATTATCAACTGCTCAAGTATCATTACAGGTTCACTCCATAATATTCTTCTTCTATAATGCCTACTTGTTATTTTGAAGACTTAACGTAAGGAGGAAGGTCCCTTGCTGTTGGCTCCAAGTCCTGAATTCACAAAAACAGTCATGATTCTCTTTAATCTATTTATTAACGATAGTTCCCATACTGCTTTATCTGATGATCACGGCTTGTTCGCTGATGGCATAGCTATCTTCAAGTAGACAAACTAGGAATGATGTAACTATTCTTCAGAATGATATTGCTTTGTTTTTGTGGGCTCAAAATATTAAAATCAATTTCAATGTTAAACAAAAAACAAAGGTAATATTAAACTAGAAAACTTAACTTTACAAATCCAAACGTTTTTTAATGAATGGTGAGCAACTCAATGTTGTCGATACTCACAAACATTATTATCAAAACTTTTCAGCCTTTTACTTAAAGCCCACCTATGCTTTTTTTCCAGACTGTTTTGTTTATTGTAATTTCTGATGATGCATTATATACGAATAAAATTGAACTTGAACTTGAATATAACAGCAATCTAAATTGGAAATGTCATATTGATAATGTAATCAACCGTGTGAACAGAATGATTGGTATAATTTTTTTTCGGTAGCTGCTTAATGTCTCATTTTTACAAATCTCTTGTACAGGAATTACCGATCATGGAATATGGACTACCTGCACAGAGTCCTCAGTGTCTAGATCATGTAAATCGTCTTGAAAAAGTACAGCAAAGAGTCTCCAATCGAATCCTTTGGAGACACTGTGATCCCATTAATTACAATGAACGACTGATCACTCTCAATTGTCTTTCTCTTAGGGATAGACGACTAATTATTTTGATTTCATTTTTCCAATACTTAATTTAATGCAATAGTGTAATAAATAATATTCATGTTAAACCACAACATGTAGAAACTTTAAGTATTATTGTGAATTCTAAATGTGTAAATTGTACTTTTTTTTATATATATTCTGATTTTAATTAAATATTCCTGTACCGATATTGTATTGTTCAATGTTTGTTAAACATTTTTTTTTAGTGTTTTAATTATTTTGAATAATTGAATTGTACAAATTTTAAGATGACAAATTTTATTGTACTCTGTTTTATTTTTCAGTGGTTGTGGGCACCACTTGTAATGATGTCACGCACTGTTGCTGACGCACCTCCTGGGCCGTTTGTGCCAATAAAATAAATTAAATGAAAAAGAAAAATAAAAATGAAATAGTCTCCTAATTTGATGATCTTTAAGCGCCATCTTAAATAATTCTTATTTAATAAATTTTAATTTTTTTTCCACGCTCTTGTTTTTTTTTGTTGTTGTTGTTGTTGTTGTTGTTGTTGTTGTTTGCTTCTCTACCGCTTTCTTTTCTGTTTCAACCATTTTACTCTTTTTTGTTGTCCTGGAAGACGCAGAGAAACAAATGCTATATGTGCTATACAAGTGTACAACCATTGACATTTTATATGTCAGTCAAAGCATGGAGTAACATGGTCAAAATACTATCTCTGATATATTCTGTTCAGATATTTAATGCATCTAAAGTTGCTGTGACTCAGATCAATTAAGATAAGACCATACCATCATAACTGATGCAACCCCTCCTTCTTCCAGATGAAGGGCCAACTCCCGAGTTGTACTAAAGTCGTACAATCACTGCGCTCGACGGTCGTCGGCCGACGCGATTCTATATTTTAAAAAAACCCCGCAACGCGACGACGCGCGCGCAACAGATCGTTTTCAATGACGATCCGTTTAGACTGCGGCCACCGACAATCAGCCGACGGCGTTACGTCGTCTAGTGTTCAGAGGGAGGCGTTGGATGTACTGGGTGGTTTATAGTGCACATGAGCCAATATTTACATTGTTTTTAATTTATTGTACTTTTCCGTGAATACTTATTCCACCCTCAGAACTATTAGGCGAGCGCCGTTACAATCTGCGCTGACCGCTCTGCCATTCGACTCACGAACTATTATCAGTAGAGTAACAGTGAGTGACTTAAAGAGGTCAGCATTATAGGTACATATAATAATACGTTTAAAGTAAATCTTATTAATTCATGACTTCCTTAAGAATTTTTATATCTTTTAAATACAAATATACATTATTCATAAGATTTAAACATAATTCTCGTGCATGACAGATACACATTTGACAGAAAAGAACAGCAATTGAACAAGAAGAATGAAAGATTGATACATATCCCGTGAGTCAGAAAATGAAACTGTTAATATCGTCAGTATTTACGTCATTTAGACTTATTATTCCATATGGGCTTGACAAAATTGAAAACTTGACTTACATTCGGAAAGCTTTAATTACCGTGCCGTGTTAACCTGGTACGCATTTTCAATTAATACATTGTAGGCATACTATACATTTGCAGATTACCCTAAGGGTTTTTATAACAGATTCGGAAGGCCTTTAACTTTCTCTCTGTCCTGGTTCCAAAATCGCTACACTAGATTAAAAACTTCATTCGCTGCATCTCGGGACATCAAAGGTTATAACTCTGGCATCGACATTCTAGGCGCACGTGCGTCTCTACACGCTGAACGTCACAAAAACCATAGCAACCAGACCATAAACCGTCAGCGTACGTGACGATTTACCCTCGCGCGAGTTAGTTGCCATGTTAGTCGCGCGTCGTGCGGTGATTACAAAGGCCTAATGATATTTTGCACTAACATTAGACTGAAATATATTCTTCATTTCAACATTAATTTTACCAAAATTGTGGTGAATTGTC